CTGAGTCCTCCGGCAGCCATGAGTTTCTGCTTGCAGTGGGGTGACAATGCCGCCCCAGGGGGACGCAGAGCGAGTGCACACAAAGCACTAGGCATCTTTCAGTCGTGGTGACGTGTGCCGTTGTCATCGTCCCCAGGTTCCAGACAAGGAGGCAGGCAAAGCAGGGTGAGGAGCTAGCAAGAGGGAGGCTCTGCCGCTGCCGCTGCCCGGGCTTGGCCTCCGACCCGGGGAGGGGAAGCCGCTCACCAAGAATTCGATAGGACTGGACGCTGCCAGCGCTCCTGACCACACTCCCGCTCCCAGGGTGGCTCGTGCTGTTCTGACTAGACACTGAGGGAAGGAGGGGTGTGGGCCCAGGGACAGCAGGCCCAGGACAGCCTCGGCGAGAGGAGGCTCTGCCCCAGGCTCGAGCAGCGCGTCCCTAAGGAATGTGGACCCAAAGCTGGGAAGTGTTCCAGGAGAGGGAAGCCGTCTGGATTTTTGTGGAAAATAATTTCACTTCTAAAGTTGGCAATGGGGAGCCAGTAGGTGGCTTGGTAGTTAAGGTGCTGGACTCCCACAGGATCGACCACGGTTCAAGTCCCAGACTGGCAGCTTGCTTTCTTACTTTCCCTCTCATCTGGTGAGCACACTTGCCCTATAATACATTGAATAATAATAATAAATAAATATATTTAAAAAATAAGTTGTTAAATAAGTAAATAAAGTTAAATAAAATAATTCTTTTAAAAAATTATAAAAGGGGCCGGTGGGTGGCTTGGTGGTTAAGGGTGCTGAACTCCCACATGGCTGACTACAGTTTGAGTCCTGGACCTGGTAGCTTGCTTTCTCACTTTCTCTCTCTCTCTCTCACACACACTCTGTCCCTCTCTGGTCACGTTAATATAAATAAATAAATAAAGTTAAAGGAAATAATTCTCAAAAACAAATTTAAATTAAGTTGGCAATGAATCCGATGAAAGTACACGCCACTGTGATCAGCCGTGGCCCACGGGCTCTAGTCTGAGTCCTCCTGCCACCTGAACTCTAGCAACTCACGTTCTCTTCACCTGCTGCCACTTCGGACACCCTGGAGAGAGCCAATGCATTCCAGAAAATGCCTCTCCCAGAAGGTTGTTCATGCCCCAAACCTGTCCCTCGGCCCAGCACCCAGCCTCCCACCCACACAGCTGTTTGTGCGTCTCCCCTCCACTCGCCCCTCCACCAGCTGCTCCGTCCTCTGCCTGCACATCCTCCCATGCGCACATCTTTCATCTACGCCCTGCATGCCCGTTATTTACCCACGCACATCCATCAAGCTGCCCCCACACACATAGCCCGACTATCCATGCATGCATCCGTCCACCCACACATGCATCTGTCCACCCACGCATGCATCCGTCCACCCACGCATGCATCTGTCCACCCACGCATGCATCTGTCCACCCACACATGCATCTGTCCACCCACACATGCATCTGTCCACACACGCTTACATCTGTCCACACACGCATGCATCCGTCCACCCATGCATGCATCTGTCCACACACACATGCATCTGTCCACCACACATGCATCTGTCCACACACGCTTACGTCTGTCCACATACACTTACATCTGTCCACACACGCATGCATCTGTCCACCCACACATGCATCTGTCCACACACGCTTACATCTGTCCACACACGCTTACA